GTTTGGGGTTTGGTGGGTTTTGGGTTTTTTTGGGGGGGTTTGGTGGGTTTTTTTTTTTGCTTCTCTTTCCCCCCTGTCTCAAAACACGCAGCCCTCGCTCCCTCTCCACCATCCCCCTCTGTGCACCGGGACGTGGGCTCGGGGAGGAGCGCGTGGAGAGCGGGTTTGTCTCGGGAAGGAGATTTGTACCCAAAAAAAAAAGGAAAAAAAAGAAAAAAAAATAGAGAGAGGATATTTACAGCTACCCACTAACAGCTGGGGTAGGTCAGGATGTCTCCTTTCTCCTTTCCCTCTTGGCTTCTCCCACCTACGGGCAGGAGGGACTGGTGGAGCTCTCCAGGGAGGACTGGGAGGGGCGGGGGGTCAGAGGGCCGATGTTGCCAACGAGGAGGTGGGGAAGAGTTTGTACCAACCCGTGACTGTGCTGGAGAGATCGAGCTCCTCCAAGACGATCTGGGCCATCCCCATGAAGCACTTGTGGTCCATGCGCCCGTAATCTCCCCAGACGATCACCTGTGGGGCAGAGGAGGTGTTAGGGGAGCTGCCCCACTGGTTTGGGGGAAAATTCTGCAAACTCAGCGTGCCTGGCCAGGAAGAACCCACCATGATTGGGATGGGGAGGCTGTGGGCTGAAGGACAGCAGTGAGGACACTGGGTTTCTGTGCCCTGTCCTTGCTCCCCTAATCCCTCCCTGTCCCCCAGTATCTGTGTGGGGAGTACGTCACCTGCAGGACTTTGCCCTGGGGACTCTCCTCGAAGAGCAGAGGCTGCTGGTACGATGGGTCACAGGTTTTCTTCACCACCTTGGTCTTCTTCTTGGCCAGACAGACACCGTTCTCCAACAGGTAAACTTTCACGTAGGTGGCTGTGTTGGAAAATGGGTGAGAAACACTGACCTGGAGCAGGATGCTGTGGTGGTCCCAGCACAGCACCCATCCCCATCACACCCCCTCTGTCCCCAACCCCCTCCCGCCCCAGCCACCTACCAGGGATGGTCTTGGAGCCCATCTTTGGGATAAGTCCCCTCGCCTGGATCACATCCACCTCCAGCTGCCCATTCCGGTCAGCCATGCCAACGTGGACATCACCTAGGAGGAGGGACAAGATGCACTCAGCACTGTCCCCAATGGCCACCTCCCACCGAGGATGGCCACAGCCCTGGGCTGGTCCCCACCAACTCTCTGTTTTGGTGCTGCCAAAAAGCAGGTGGGAGATGTCATCTCCAGGGTGGGCAGCCCCAGCTCCCCCACACCATCTCCCCACCCTCAGCACCCAGCACTCAAGCACCCCGAGCATCCCACCACCGCGTGCGTGATCTGTTGTGAATTTGGAGGAAGGACAAAGACACTTGGATTTGAGCAGCAAAGAGAAAACTGGGTGAGACCCCCCCGCTCCCTCCTCCCCTCCATCCCACTGCAGCCTTGCAGGGGGGCTTTTGTCCCTCAGAATGGGAAAAGGGACTGGGATTAACTGGTGTGTCCTGCTGCTAGCTGGAAATCCAGACC